TCTGTAATGGTAACCACTGTAAACCCAATTTCTGTGCTATTTATATATATATATATATATATATATATGTATATATGATCAAGTGCCAAAAAGAAAAGAGTTGGCGAATTAGCTCTGAAGAGAAAAAATATAATATCCCTTGTGCAATAAGCAAGTGAGTATTATAGCTAAAATTCAGATCAATTGTTTAAAAAAATCCAACAAGAGCTAAAGCCATCAAAATTAAACAAAAACAGACAAAAAACAAAAAAGCAATTATTAACTTCAAGAAAAATAAGTTTTACAAGAAATGAAGTCTGTGCAGTTCAGTTATATTTACATTTATATAACATGAAGACTGGTTTAACTTTTTAAGTGTGATGCAATCATATTGGGAGGATGAGGGGAGAGGATGAGGGGGGAAAGGAAGGGAGGGAGGGAAGAAGGGAAAGAAGGACAGAAGCTAGGCAGGCAAAGTTTTCATTAATAGATAATTCCTAAAACTGAAAAATCAAGAAATAGAAGAATAGTGTTTTATTTAGAAATGTGAAGTTTCGCTGTCAGAAGAATGTGTCAAAAGGGATAACAGTCATTGTAGGACACAGAACTCAAGTGCAGACAAGAGGGGTAGAAAACAGATGGAATTCTTTATAAGTCATGTAGTACCATTTGATGTCAACATGTTTGCACACTGGCACGTGCACATGCACACGTGATGTACACACATACATAAATACCACTTAGGTGAAAAGAAGGAGGAGGAGGAGGAAAGAAGAGGAGAAAATTCAGACTTTGGTTGCTAAGAACTGATTGAACATTTTTTATCACTCCTTCCTCTAAAACCTACTGAAACAACAAAAGAAATATGATAGTAAGTCAGTAACTCTGCGGAGAGAGTACGCCAGGAGAGTACACCAGCAGTAGACTGGGATAGTAAGGAATTTCTGGATGATTCAGAAGAATTGGGATCAGATTGAGTGCCAAATCCAACATAGGTATCTTTAGCGATGTTCTTTAGAAGATGACTACACAGCAGAAGGCTTGGGCCCTACAAAATCTGGCTAGAGCCTGGCCTGTCTGAGATGGCATGTGGATCCTCTTGAAGGATGTTTATATCTCAGATGCCTTTGCATACATTAAGAAGTGAGTGTTCCGTGCAGTACATGAAGAATGCTTTAGGCACCTAACTACCACACTTCTTGGTAACATGATTTTGTCTCCTAGTTAGTGTCTTAGCATTGAAGATTATGCTCTAGGGGAAGTTTATACAGAACTTTGTTAAATAAATGTGTTAAATAAATGTCCCAGGAAGGAGTGGAGAACTTTTGAAAATCTCAGGAACTGTTTTAGGAGCACCAGTGCTTCTGAATCTTTGGAAGACTAAATTCCATCCGTTCCTTTTTCCACTCTCTCTAGGGACACTTTTGAACGCAAAGAACTATGCAAACTCAGCTTCAAACATTTTATGAGTGTTTTAAAATTGATAAAACCTGAAACAGAAGTGAGGTTACCTAAGATAAACCATTCCTAGAGGCAATTAATAAGAATGTCTTCTCTGACTAAGTAAGGAAGCTTCAACAGAACCATTTAGAGTTTTTCGTTACCTAAAGTTGGAGGGATGTAAAGACTGAATCATAACTGTGAAGTCTAAAGAAAGGAGTAAGCGGCAAAGTGAGGGAAAGAGGTTGTTAGAATCCACCACAATTTCTAGCTTCTCGCATGACAAAGGATGCTTGAATTCCCAAGATCCCATGTTACCCCACAGGAGAGCAAAACTGAATTGTTTTGAGGGGGATTCTACAAAAGAGGTCTGAGTCAATTCATTAAAACCCAAGAAAGTAGTAAATTCAAAGTTTTTAAAAAGACAACAAAGGAGATATCAGGAAAATAGAAAAAAAATAAAGTATAATATGAAATAGAAGAAATAATTTGTCAATAGTACGAAAAGTTGGCATTTTAAGAAAAGATAATTGAAATTATTAATGAGAAAAGGAACATATGAAGATTATTTTCAAAATCGTGAATTTTTATTATGAGAGAATTTTTATTATGAGAGAAAGAAAACCTTCTTAAACAAGACACAAGATCAAAACAGAGAGACTCCATTAAAAAAAGGAAATGTTTGAGAAATGGAAGACTCCATATACAAAATTAACAATAAAGTACAAGTAAATGTTACAAATAGTTTAAAACCATAATTGTGAAAAGCAGCTATAAATAAAATCACACATTTTTTGATTGCACAAAAGCGATACAAACCTAATCTTATGGGGAAAAATGATTATATATAAATAGCAAATCATGTTGCACATCTGATCAAATGTATCTCAATTTTTTTTAAACTGACCAATAAACACTTGAGAGAATGTTTGACCATATTAGTAATCAGGAAAGTTTAAAGCAGAAAGACCACTATCACCTACCATATCAGCAGAAAATTTAAAACATCGTAGCATACAGTGTTGAAAGGTTGTGAGGAAACACTAAAGTTCATACATTGATGGGGAATGCAAGTTGGTAGTATTTTTGGAGGAAATTTAGTAATACTTTTTTTAAAATTTTTTTTAAAACATTTTATTTATTTATACAAGAATCAGGGTATTGGCCAGATGCGCAGGAGGGTGTCAGGATTCACCAGAGACAGAGTGGGGAAGAGAACAGGCAGAACGACCAAACACTGCCGAGGGGAGCAGCAGGCAGGACAGGAGAGGTCTGCTTTGCCCTGTGGGTATCTCGCCGGCCGGCCGGGAATCGAACCAGTGCTGCAGAGGCTGAGGACTGCTCATCGCTGCACTCAACCGCCTGAGTGGAGACCCCAAATTGTTATTTAATATGCATACAACTTTGAGTCAGTTATGCCAATTCCAGAAATAATTGAAGATGTGCACAAAGATGTGCACCAAAGAAAATGCGTGAAGATGCTCACTGAGGCTTCCTTTTTTTTTGGATTAGTAAAAAAATTTCAACTTTCTGTGTCACTTCGAAGAAAAAATGGTTAAAGGACAGTTAAGCAATCATTAAAATGAATGAGTACATCGAGAGATACTTAGATGAAAATTCCAAGATACATTATTAAATGGGAAAAATCACCGAATGACAAGTACACAGTGCAGCTAGTTAGAATATGTCTCCTATACAGACACACGTATGGGGGCAGGAATGACATAGGTTTTCATTTTTTATCCTCTATTCCAGTGTTGTTTTAATGAAGAAAAAGGAGAGGTTGGAAAATGGCACATTCAATTGTTCGTTGTGTTGACGAAGGGAGAAAAAAACGGTGAGAGTGAAAACGATTTTCACTCTGTAAATTATAAAAATCAAAAGAACATAAACAAAAATTCAAACATGCAAGTAACATACATTTTAATTAAAAATTTTAATATAAAGAAATAACACATGAAAATACTTTTCAAGACAAATGGACTCCAACTAAGTTTACCCTAGCGATTTTTCCAGTCACAAATAAAAAAAAAAAAAATCAGATGGATTTATGGTCTTCTACTTGGTACTTTTCCAGTTCTCCTTCCTTCACCGTATAATTAGGAATTACTTCAAAAGAATTGCTACTCCTTTATGGAATATTACCACCTTCAATACCACCTTCCAGACCAAGCCTTTAAGGTCTAATTAGTGCGAGAATTTCCATTCAGAACCCAAACTGGCAGGGTACCAAGGGTGGGGTTACTTTTTTTTTCCTATTTCCTAATAAATGTTAGAGCACCGTGGTAGTTTATAACTGTCCAGCTTCTCCAGATGTTACTCATTAAAAGGAAAACGACTGTCACACATAAATGTCAGACTGTATTTTACTGGGATTGTAGAAACGTAGTAAATACTCATAAAAGAACGAACGGGGCCCGGCGTCGGGGACGGGCCCGTCCACCCGCCCGGCGCGCGTCGCGAGGGCAGCGTGACTTTGCACAATGGCACGTTCTGAAGCTTGCGCGCTCCTCCGGACGGGCGCCCTGCGACGCGCACACCACACAGCAATGGTAGGAGCATGAACCTTAGGGTGCATAGGGAAAAAAAAACCCGCAAAGGGACTTGCACCGTATTTAGACTGAAAAATCGCCTAGAGCCTGTTTCCCGAGGACTGCTGCGCCTCATTCCGCAGCCCGCAGCGCCCTTCGCCAGTACTTAAGCTTCCCGTTCACTCGCACCCGCAGGGCGGCGCGCCGCGCGGAGCGGCATGAGAAATGGACGCCGCGGGCCCTTTTTTATTCAACCCCCCGGAGTCCTTCACCCGCCTCCCCGCCCTGCGCAAGGACACACACGTCCTGACGCACGTTCACAAGCGCGCGGCTCCCTCCATTTTGTCCCCAGTCTCCTTTAGGCGAGCCAGGCCGTGCTATTTTAAAACTATTAAGTAATGAAACTAAAAAAAGGGAGGCGGCGGTGTGGGCGTGGGGCCACGAAGCGCCGGGAGCCCCGCGCCGAGGGCTCAGGGGCTGCTAGCGCGGAGAGGCGCCGCCCGGGCCGCAGGGGCTCTTCCCGGGGCCGGAAGGACAAAGGACACGTAGGACACGCGGGCCGCGAGCGCCCGAGCGCCGACTTCCGGGCCGGTGGGCCCGGGTGGGGTGGGCTCGGGTCGGCCGCAGGACAAGCTCGCAGGACAAAGCGGCGGCGGCGCGCGCGCTCCCTCCGCCGCGGCCCCGCCCCCCGGCGCGCGCCCGGCGCCAGCACAGGCGAGCGCGCGGCGACGGTTAGAAATGGCGGTTGGGCGGAAGGCGGGGGCTGGGGCGGGAAGAGGCGCAGTCTGGAGGAGCCAGGCCTGTTCCGCCCCCGCCCCGCCGGGAATCCGGGCGACGGGGTGGCTTCACCAGCCTAGTCTGCAGCACCCCTGGCCCTTGGGGCTGGAGAGAGTCCCTAGTGGCGAGAGCGTGGCCCGTGCCAGCGAACAAAGGAGATGGCGGCCGCAGCCCAGGCGACGGCAGCGGCCCACCGCGGCCACTGCGGAGAACAAGAAAGGCTCCTAAAATGGCGGCCGCCGCGCAGGGGCGGGGCTGACGGGGGCTTCCGCTGGCGGCGGCCCTCGGCCGTCGCAGGGCGGGGCTGGAAGCGCGGACTCGTGCCCCATGGCCGCCGAGCAGGAGCCGGGCGAGCCCGGGAAGGGAAAGGTAACCTGCGGGGTCGCGGGGTTAGCGAGTCGTGGGCGGCGCGGGCTGCGGGCAGAGCAGGGCGCGGGCGGGACATGCGGGGGGACACGGCCTCTCCCGCTGGGGGACCCTGGGCCCCACTCACGTGTCATTCATTGAATTCTCTGCACTGGGAACTGTTACTCACCTGCCCCTACAGCCCCCCATATTTTTTATCTAAATCACTTGACAAAAGTGAACAAAACTAGCGGGAAGAGGGGCCGGCACTGCTCATTGCGAATCATTATGAAGCAATACAAGGACTTTGCACTGCAACTTTCTAGTAAAGGTAGTGACTTAAGAGCTCTCTGAGGACAGATGCTTCTCTTTAATGCTGCATATTCCGCAACACCAATAGCGAAATCACTGTCTCCTGATATTTTTTAATTCAAATCAAATTGATTTAGATGAAAAATTGGTTACATTCTTGTGAATTTACATCTAGAACCAGAGGGTCTGATGAAAGGATCGAGACTTACTACCATTGACCTTTTTCTCGATCAAGCTGAGTATATGCATTATTGTATGTAACCATTAGGTCCCCTAGCTGGTATTCCTGTCTTTTGCTGTCTTCCTCAAGTTCTACAACTTCACTAACCTATAATTGGATAATTCCACGTCTGCCTAAAAGCTAATCGTAGCATCTCAATCGTAGCTTTCAGGATAAAATCCGAAGTGCTTAAGCTTTAATATAAACCTCCTTTATCTAGCTCCTAATTCATAGTGCAGATTAATAATACCGGGACAATTATGAACAAATATTTATTGAATACCCAGTGTCCCAGGTTGCTCCAAATTGCTAGCCTTAAAATATTCTCAGCTCAGCCTGGAAATTTTGCACATTTTTTTCAAAGCTCATCCTTTTCTGAGGACATTTTCATCTAAATTTTGCCACAATAGCAAGTCATCAAATGCTAGTTTGAACAATTATTGGGTAAATTGTTTCCTTATTTAATATCAAATTTTCTAAGTATATACATTATTGATGCCTTTTGTGTTTAATGTCTTAGACTATCTGGAATATGCTTAGTGTAGCAAAATGTACCCTTGTTTGAAACTTGGATGGTTCAAGGGACACCTTAACTACAAACATTTAAATTTTAGATTCAGCTTTGTGACACAGGGCTCTTAAATGGGACTTTATCACTTTAGTATCTGATTGTTCACCTTTGATAGATTACTGCTGTTATTTAAGGGTCTATGAGAATGGAAGAAAATCCTGTGCAAGAAAAAAAAATGACCTAATTGTTCCCTTATTAGCAAAACAAAATAGCAAATTGAAGCACAGGCACAAGTTCTAAAACTGATTTGGGGGGCGATTTAAAACAAAAGGCGCATAAATTTCTCCCCAACCATTGGTACCTAAGTCAAAGCTCATGAAAGAGATTTTATCAGTATAAGCTGATAAGTTAGCATTCCAGGGAAGTGTCAGAAGAGGTGATCTGCAGCTTTAAAAATTTTTCAGTGATCATTCAAGTACAATCCAGGAAAACCATTTGATTTGAATGAGCAAGCCTAAGATTGAGAAAGCTATCAAGTTAGCCTTTCAAAACTGTCTTTCCTCTTTCTATACTCTTAAACAAAATTTAAAAAAGGAAATAAATACTTGAGTACCTACTTTTATGGACTAAATGAGCTCAAGTTAGAACCTTGATCAAAACCGGTTAAAAAAAAAAAATCCCTGTCCTTATGTAACTCCATACCACTGAGGGAGTCAAACAAAAAGCAAGATCTTCATTTCCTGTGCCATCCAAGACAAGAATGCTAAGCAGTAAGCATCCAGGCCTGTATGCCTAAACAAGGAAAAGGGTCAGGTAAAAAAATAGGGGGTGGGTGCCAGATCATATAGCACCTTTATAGCAGTAGTAGGTATTGTGAGCAGAGCTGACATGGAGATCGTTGGTAGCAGCGAAAATGAGGAATACGATGGTTGAGGATGTATTTTCAAGGTAGAGCCTTTCAGACTTGCTGATACATATGGACATGAGCTGGATGAAGGACAGGATGGATTCAAAGATGACTTATGAGATTTTGGTCTAGACATCAAGCAGTGCCTCAAAAACCATCTTAATTTGGAAATATTAGTAGGCAGATGAAACTAAAGCATGGAAAGACAGGTTTGATGTATAAATTTGGGAATCACATAAATGGTATTTAATTGAAAACGACATACTCAGATGACTAGCTGGAGGGTTGGTGGGGAGGGATAGTGGTGCACTTTGACATTTAGGTCATCAAAGGAAACAGCAACAAAGCTGGCAGGAATGCCAAATCACTTGAAGATGTTTCAAAAACAAATCGTGCCACATGCACTGGAATTAAATAGAGTATGGTGGATTTAGGTACACTGATGCTGTTTCTGTGGAGAGCAGAGGATAAATGCTTCACTGAAGAGTTAAGGGGAATGTGACATTTGTAAATAAGAGGCACCCGGGTCACTTGTTTTGCAATGAAAGGAAGCAGAAAAATGGGACAGTAGACTTAAGTCTTTGGAGAAAGGGATGTCGAGGGGTTTATGTAGTAAAGGAGAAAAACTGATGCAAATGAAAGCAACTGAGGTAAAATCATTGAGGAATCAAGTGCACAAAAAAGGGATTTTCACAGGACGAAGGCCCACTGCCCTTTGCAACGGGAACATTTAGCAGTGGGATATGGGATGGCTCTAATTTGAAGTTTTCTACAGATTACTAAATTTACATTCTGCATCAGAAATCCCTTTAGTTCCATCGAAATGAAGTGGTGAAACAGCTCCTCTAAGCTTCAAAATACTAATTTATAAAAAAAGCTAGTCTAACTTTGTTAAAGAACTTAAATTTGCTAATGGTTTGTAGGCTACTTAAGGAACAATTTAAAATATAGTACTTAAAAGAACTTAGCATTACAATGCAATAAAAGTTGAGCTTTTATTTCCATTTGAGACAGCAGTTCAGTGTAAACGGTAAACTGAGGGTTGGTTCTTCGCTATAGTATTTATGTTAACCCTAGATTTAAGCAGCACTGTTTCAAATACTTGGCCAGTGTATCACTACAGATTTGAATAACTGGAGTTGACATTTTGTCAGTGTTCCAAGAAATGTCCACAGATTTTGCTGTAGCCTGGGTTCAGACTCCACTGAAGAAGAGAATCCAAATGAGCAGTTGCAGAAGCCTTAGGATATACGCTGTCTAGAGTGGAGGGTGTGCAGTGCTGGGCATGCTGTGGTCAGCCCGGTAGGTCTTTTTCTTGCCTCAGTCCCTGCCAAAACGTCAAAGTCATTAAACATTCTACCCTGTGATAGAAGCTGTTTCATTTACTTACCTGTTCAAAGTGGCACTCACTCCCACCACTCTTTGGCTCTAGCACCCTAGATCTGGAGGCCGCCTTTAGTCTTGCACTGTGAGTGTGGCATCACCCTATAGACTAGCCACATTCTCCATATATACCTCTGGGCTTTTGAGAAATCTTTTTCTAAATTAAAGCCTAAAAGCGAAGTAAACCCACCATCCTGTTTGTATTTTAATATTTGTATTGAAAAACTTCTGAAGTCGGCAACTTTAATAGCACCTGCTATGTAACTCCGTATTGGCAGGGGAAGAGGATAACAAGGAGACCAAATAAAGGCATAGAAAGATCCAAGACATTAACTTTGGCTTTATTATAAACCAAATCACATATCTGCCTTTTCTGGTTTTCTGGCAGCTTGAATGAAAGGAGACAACAGAGTAATCTGATTGGCCATTTACTGTCCTTTTCCCATTCCTTCCAGTTTGTTTTCTCCTGTGCATTGTATTACTTCTTAGATAATCTGATCTAATAGAATTCCGCCCCATCTAGTTTAAGAATTATAACATAATCCCTCATACTAACATGTGTTTTCAATATAACTGATACCTTTAAACAAGCATCTTTTAAAAGATACATTACTGAAAACTTGCTAATCAAATTTTAGAAGTTAATAGGAATGCCATAGTGAAACAAAACTTTAATAATGTCTGTCCTGCCCTCAAGTAGAGTGACATTCAAGTTGTGAAGCTTCAGGTTGCAGTATTTTTCAAATGAGGAAGAACCATGTGCATAAATACAGTGAGTACTAGAAATTTAAAAAACTAGTCATTTTGGTGATTGAAGGAACTTAAAAATGCATGTGGCATTCATCAGATTAAAGGTCAGATGACCTAATTAGAAAAATGACAGGATGAGACCAAAACCCAACTCTGTGCTTCCAGTTTTTCCCATCACGCCATGCCTGTATGTGGTTACCATGCACTATGCAGCCTCCTCCTATCAGGTGAGAAAATACATACACAGGGACTTACCCAACATGAAATATTTCTTCTTACACAACTGATGTTAATTCTGGTGATAGCCACTCTTCTCAATTTCTTACAGATGTTTTAGAAAGCTCATAAAACCAGCTAATTAGTAAACTGTCCCATTAACACCATTCATTTATTAAGTATGAGCAAGGTAGTTGTCCTGGTCAAACTCTCAAGGTTTCCAAGGGATTCAGATTATATATCAAAGAAGAATGAGCGAACAATGGGAATGAACTGTTTCATCTTCTTTGTCAAAACACCCAGAAATTTATTTTTTTAATTTTTCTTTGGAAGCCCTTTAAACTTCTAGGAATTTTAGATGTTGAAAACATCCCTTGTGCCCGGGATTCGATATTATATGGTTCATTAGGATCTGTTGTGGCTGGCCTGGGACATTTTTGTTAACTAGTGAGTATCTCATCTATATAAAAAACAACTATTTTTGTCAATTTTCTTCTAGGTGGAATAATATATAATGTTTGATTGCTATTTATGCTTCTTTTTGACAGGTAAAATTAGAAGATCATGTGATGTTGGAGTAGGAGGATTTTTCTTAGTGACTTTAGGATGCTGGTATGTATGCCAAGTACTCAAGAATATTCATGATTATGATAGGTTTATCTACTGCTAAAGCACAAGCTCTTATGAGCACAAACTCCCATTGGGACATTTCAATTCTCAGTGAAGAATCTGTTTTTCAGTGTTACACACACTGATAATGTTTTAATTAGAATGCTTTATATTCAGTGCTGTCATCTGTAAGCATCTTGAAATTTGTGGTTATGAATTTCAAATTAGTTTCTACAGGATTTTTACATTAACACATTTATTCATGTTCTTATAAGGTTCCACTGTAGGTATAACTATGCAAAACAAAGAATCCAGGAAAGAATTGCCAGAGAAGGAATTAAAAATAAGATTTTATATGAAAGTACCCACCTTGATCCTGAAAGAAAACAAACCAATGGCAACAGCAGCAGCTGAGCAATCTCAGGCATAGAACACCCGAATACAACGAAGTCAGTGTGAAAAAAGCTGAGAGCAACTATAAAAAAACCTACCTATTATGTACCATAAAGCCTTCAATCAAGTAAATAATTTGTGTAAATTGTATTTTATTTACCTACTGCCACTATGTCATATAGTGAACTATGCTTAGAAGTGTTTCCTTGAACTAAATAGTGAGCATACATGACAACATCAAGAAATAAATCTCTCCCAATTACAATTTTAGAATGAGTGTATGTGTACTTCCTGGTTTCTAATGTCAATGTATAAGACTTAAACGTAATGGACTATCACTCTGCAAATTGCTGTTTTAAAATTTACTTGGTGCATTAAAATATTTTCAGAATTGTCTAATGCAAAGAAAACACACTACAGGATTACATTAATGTAAAAGACATAACGATTCAGTGGCTGCCATAAAAAACAATAAAGCACCCCAACACCCAACCAAATCAGTCTTTATTCAGGGAAAAAAAAATCTCCCTTTCCAAACCAATGCAATTTATTTTTGGTTTTAATAAACATAAACATTACTTAAATAAAACACAAGCTAAAAGGTCTTCCTGGCTAAGAAATGATAAACATGAAAAGACACCAGTGGACAGAATAATGGCATTATTATTATTGAGTTAACGCCGTGAGTTAAAGCAAAGACAGAGCTCTTATGTTCTGTATCCCTTTTTCCAAGAATAAGTGGGGCTTTGTTCCAGTTCAATTCATGTAAGGTAGCATTTTCCCTCCCATGTCCACCTTCTGTGGTTGTCATGAGGGTTAAGACACAAGGGCTGTGATTAACAAAATGCCATTATTAAAGGTGCATGACATTGCCAAGCGCATGTTCCAATAGATTGTATTGATTAATCTGGAAGCTTCTACCAGAGGAAGAACTTGAACACTGAGTATGGGAAGGTTATTAGAAAGGAAAATGAGTTTGCAAGAACATCCGCCCACTCTTGCTGACACGAAGTTGAGTGCAGCCTATATTATTCAAATTGCTCATGACCAAACAGTTGTTAGAAATTCCATGATGTGACAGTGGCTCATGTTCTAAGAGGCAGCACTACATTGAGTGGGGAGAAAACTGATAAGTACTAATCAAAACTTACGTTTACGAGCTCTTCGTCAGATCACTGAAGTATTCTAAGCTTCAGTTTACTAACATGTAAGGTGAAACTGAGCCAACTGCAACTGGACTGAATGGTGACAACCCTTTTCTAGCTCTACTATGATTGCATCTTACCCTGTAAGAGAGAAACCTCTGGGCTGGTAAAAATTTCCAAGGCCTTCACCAATTACAAGGTTAGTTCATTTTCACAGCAGAATGATTGTAAAAGTTGAAGACCTGGATAAAAACAAAGTTTTAACATACTTACTTGGCTGTATCTTTAAATGTCACCTCATAGATTTATGTGGTCACTAATACTTTATATTTCCTTTTTAAACCACTTTTACAAAATGCATTAATGAATTATTGGGCTATGTAACATAATCAAAGGCTCTCATTACACTGCTACTGGACACCTTCAATTATACCTCCGAACTGATGTCATCTTCCCAGTCCAATCCATTTTCACTCTGCCACCCAATTTCAAACGCATACTGAAGTTTTGCCAATCTGTCTCCAGTTGCCATGACCAGAACTCATGCCTCTGCTAAAGCTTTCCATTCCTTACCCCTCTTCTCCTCTACACAGGCCCCATTCTGCTCACCAAACCTCTGCAAATTACATCATTTGCTTAGGTTTTCCTACTTTGTGTCTCATGTAATATACAGTAAGCTGGCATTTTCATGATGACTAAGTTTCCTAGTATCAACTGTCAATTTTTATCTTTATGCTCCCTATTTAAGTGTCCAACACAAAATATTCACCTACATATTTGTTAAAGTGAATTACTAAATGCTCATGGGCAAGCAGGTATATTCCAGGTTCCCCCCTCATGCAGTTTTCAACTGAATAACCACCTTACCTTCAGTGCCACTTGGGTGCCTCCAGCTGGACTGCTTCCTTCGTTGGTCCATTAATTCCGAAATCTCATACTAGGTGATATAGCAGTAGGTACCAGCTAAAATAGCTGATTAAAATAGAATTGTGTTCATTAGTTTTAAAAACTTTTTGTGGCTTATCTACATACCTAACTCATTAAATCTTTCTAGTGTTTTATTCAGTTGCCCCTTCCCTTACCCCTCCCCCTTATAGTTTCCTTGAGTACTTGGTTTTAACAGCTCAATAAAGAACCTCAGGGAATTTGAAATTAACTAGCTTTTCTCTGGACTTTAGGTTTATATTGACCAAGTTTGGCAATAGGCAATTTTGACTATTCCTAGTACCATTATTTGATTTGCAAGCATCTCTTCAGTCTACGTACCTCTACTCCATCGCTGGTTTCCCTTTGCTTCGATTATATAATGCGAGGAGGTCTATATAATAAATTCAGGATTCCTGTTTATGCACTTTTCAGCAAAGAGCTAGGGATCAAATAGGGGTTGAATCCTTCTATTCCTAGATAAAAATCTCTGGCAGATGGGGGGGGGGATCAAGGCACCCCTTTAAAGTCACGTTAAAATACACACTATACTTTGGGTAAGCAGAAAATGAGCAAAGTAGAAAAATTATAAAACAACTGCTGTAATTCTGATTTTAATGGTCTTCTAAAATACAATACTTTGGAAGCATCTTAAAATATGATCCAGTGGTCATCAAATCAGGTCAGTATACCAATCAATATCCTCTATCACCCAAATACTGGCATCTTATATTGTGTATTTGTTCATTAATAGTTTCTCTTAAAGCAGCATTATGGGTAAAAGACTTATTACATTTAAAAGTATGAAACTTGAGCACCACATATCAATGTGTTGTATTTATTAAGTCTTCAACCACTGCATTCATCTTTTCATTTTCTAGTACAGCTTGCCCCAAACTTACTATTTTAAGCTACTTTTTAAAGTACTAATAATTTAAAGGGCCTTTCTTTTTCTATAGTTCACTTTAAAAGTTACCAATAGGTTTATCTTGTTGCACCATTTTTCTAGAAATAATGTTCATTATGTCTTGCATGCCATAAATCACCTATTATGGTCTGCCATTAAGGTCATAATCTACTTGTATTAATATCTACAGGATATTTCCAAAGAAATGCTTTTCTCCTTGCCATGAGGATGAGTCACGTGCAATGCCTGTTTTCAAAACTTTTTTATTTTATCACTTTTTCTTGGGTGAACAGAAAATTTAACTTTTATCTTTTACTCTGAAACCTCAAGTTGCTTGCTCTTCAGAAACCATTTTTTTTTTACTTGACAGAATTAGTGTTTCATTGATGATATCAAGATAGCTACATTTCAAATCACTATAGCACCCAAGACCCCTCATTTCACCAACATATTCTAGAGTATGCAGTGGGCAAAAATTTCCTCTAAGCTCATGGTTTAAATTATTTGAGAGAGCAACAATTATATGCTCGACTGGCACAAAGTGCACACAGCCTTCTATTCTTAAATTCATTTCCCAGTTAATCTGTTCTTTGAAGTGAACTTCTATCCTTTTCATTCTTCAAAAGGATGTCAATCTATTGGTTCCAAATGCATGTAAGCTAATGAAAAATTAGTACATTTGTATATAGTATAGACAAAAATATTTTCATGCTTAAACTCTTAAGTGGAGTAGGTATTAAATGTCTTTCAATAAATTTAACAAGCAATTTGAACCATTAGAACAAATAATCTAACCTCAAAAGAACTTTGTGTCTTCTGGCCTTAAACCTACTCAACAAGACTACCGATTACTACTGTAACCCTAAATACTTCACACTTCAGGTATGCAAAGAATAATTAAACTTTTTTCCTGTTAATAATCTACCCATCTTTTTGAAAGTAGGAAAGTTCTAATTAAGGTGATCCTGGAAGCCCAATACAACAAATGTTATATGTACAAGCAGCAATTAATTTGGAATACCTATTGGAATCACTGGAACACATTTAGTTGGGCCCTTTTACTCTTCCACACAGCACATTCACATGGACAGACTAAGGAAAAGGAGATGAAATTTAAATCAGCACATTTTTTTTTTTTGCTTTATTAGTTTTCAAAAAAAAAAAAAATTCAGTTGGAACGTTTCATCCTGGTACTTTACCATGATTGTCCTATCTCCATTAACTACATAGAACTGAGATAAGGATACCTCAATTAACTACCTTAATTATTCTGCCAGTTGCCATTCAAGTAAACCCCATTCTTTTGAAGTTCTTTATTTTCTATGCTTTAATACTGGTGAAGCTTTTGTCAGAAAACTAGGTGTCTATACTGGTGACCTCATCATTGCTGGTTTTATTTGTAAAAAAGTTTTGGCTGGTACTAAACTGGCAATGCATTCCAAGTACTTGGCAGGTATGTATTTTACTGGACCACAAAATCAACTTTTCTTATAAGGTCATGGAATGGGACTATGAAAAGAACATGTCACCAACAACAGTTCAGTGTTCATGTTAGCACTACAGTCTGTAACCTCCTGCATAATAACCTCCAGCAGTACAAATGTTAGACATGCTCCTGCTATTCCATTAGTAGAGCATGTGATTTTAACAGTAAGAAGAAACTAGACTTTCTATAAAACATCCCTGTATTTGCCCAGACTGTTAACAACTACAGTGGTTTCTCATACCCAAATACCCAGCTTTGTTTAAAAACCAAAACTGGTTGCTTGTCAAGATCCACGTTGAATTCTGGTATACAGAGATAGGAAAAAAAAATTCAACATTCCTAAGCAATAGATAATCAATTATTAAACACATGGTAAGTTTCTTGTCCTAACCAAGCTGTGATCACTAATGTCCTGGCCTATCAGTTTTATCTCTTACTTGTTCCCCTAATGCTAGATACGCAATTACAAATGAAATTCCCAAGTGCCTAAAAAATTTATTCAGCTTTCCACATAGAACTCAGCATGTACCCAAACTCAAAAACATATATATTACTAATAATTTTGTGTTAACAGTATGAATATAATTTCCAATCTACTGTCCCTGGGCAACAATCAATCATCTGTCTTTTTGGTTGATTGACTAATATATATCCTTACTTAAGTACATAATCCTTTACCACTTCCCAACTATCTTAAGCTCTGACTCCCAGTGGCTTATCCTATTGAAATTAAGTGTAAAGGCCTAATAAATTAGCAAAGCATAATAAAAATTACATATTAAGATAGCTTATTTCAGTTCAATTTCACATATATAAATTTTTTAACATTATAGTTGGGAATCCTGGCTTTTGTGTTTTTCTACCCCAACACACTCAAGGAAATACATTCTATTATCAGTACTGAAGCTCACTTCCCAAACCAATTCACAAAAATTGTTCAAGTAATCAAGGTTAGTGGATTAATAAAACAAAGGTTGACTTCAACATGGCTTAGTTGGACACACTTTTTAATATTTGTCTTATAAACATGTACCTGTAGTACTAGTACAAGGTAAAATACTGGGGATTAGTGCAGCT